ACAGACATCAAAAGTAATAAAACTTTATTTGAGGAGGTTTTTTATTACAGAAGTCTATAATAGAAACATTTAAATAAAATGTCATTTAATTAAATAAATTGGATTTCTCATCAAATTATTTAACTAGCTAACAATAATTCATATAACTAAACTCTTTCAATACTAAATGAGCAGCCATATTCATGGAAAATTACATTATTTTAGAACTAAGATTTAGAGTCAATTCTGTCTTCTCTTGATCTAATACCAATTTATTTTTCTTTTTATTATATTTTATTTTAACATTTGACTTACCTAATAAAATGTTTACCTCATTTTTTATCTAGAAAATGCAAGAAACAATATTTTTATCCTATTTTTAAAAAGTTTTTAATTACATGTAACACTGTATTGAGTCAATTTCACTGAAGGAGGGAAGCAAAAACAATCTCACTATTTCTCACTAATACTTCATTAAATGTATTCCATGTGCGAAATATTGCTATTGTAAAATAAAACCTTATAAACATTTCAGAGCTGTTTTAGTCATTTTCAGATAATAAAACATCATTTTTCGTACATATAAAAAATTCAAGCCATTACAATATCAAAGTTCCAAAATTTCATATAGTTTATTTTTCTCCTCCTTCAAATTAGGCTACGAAACTTACACTGGAGCATGTGGTCAGTTTCTACTCCCATTTTCATTCATTGACTCCTTAACTTTCTAGATCCTGTTTCAGGTGCCCATAATTTTGAAAGAGAAAACATTCAGAAAGGTAAATAAAAGTAACAGTTTACCTTAGTAATATGGACTGAATCTGGTCAAATTATCCATCACGGGGAGTTTACTGCACGCACAGATTCTTTCTCTCACGGATGTTTATGTGGCTTCTTAAGAGATCTTTATTCCTCGAGGTCTGTAAAGAACAAGTACAAACCCTTGGAATTTAAAGATGTCTCTCTTAGCCTTAGTTTCTGATTCCAGTATCTCTGTTAAGATCTCCTAAACTTTCAGGAAATCCTTTTAGATATTGTCCCTCTCAACGTAATGCGGTCTAACTTCCTTCCATGAGGCCCAGAACTGGCATAGAGAGCTTTACACATCCTTTGACCATGAAACTCTGGCCATTCAAAAAGTAGTCATTTCCATTGTGCTGTTGGAACTGACCAGCCATAACCTCTTATATTTAGACTCTTCCAGCATGAATCAGCAGACTACTCTGCATATCCCTCCAGAAAAGGAACTTGAAGCTAAGCTCTTGGAGTATTTGTTTTCAGCCTCTCCTCATATGATCAGATGAATCGTCAATAATCCTTCCCTTCTGGTTTTGGGGTGAGAGACGCAGAATGCACAGCACAGCAACTCTCTTTTAAGAAGGAGATAAATGGTGGGCTAATACTGGCAGAACACATTTTGGCTTGCCTTTCTGTAAATGCTGCAGAAGTGGTCTGGGACTTTGCTTTGAGAAATGAAAGTAAGTATTACCAAATGTTCTCCACCACAATAACATGTTGTTTTTATACAAATAGTAAAATATATAAATATATTTTATACAAATAGTAAATATATAAATATATATTTTTATATGACATTACTGAGCAGTTCTATAAGGTTTGTACATATATTCTATGCAATGATATTAGACATATACAATAGCATATTAAATAATAAAAGGTTCCAGCAGCAACTAATGGTGTATTTTTTTCAATAAATTCAACTTTCACAAATTAATAAGTCTAGAGATAAAAGCAATAGAATTCACCAAAGATATGTCACTAATGTAGGTCAGCAAAACAGTATTGGCAGTGATGTATTTATTTTGGCCACCTTTAAGGTATAGATGAATCACTACACTGTACTTGATCAGTTTTATTTTACTAATTTATTTTTATTTATTTATTTTTTTTGAGACGGAGTTTCTCTCTTGTTACCCAGGCTGGAGGACAATGGCGCGATCTTGGCTCACCGCAACCTCCGCCTCCTGGGTTCAGGGAATTCTCCTGCCTCAGCCTCCTGAGTAGCTGGGATTACAGGCATGCGCCACCATGCCCAGCTAATTTTTTGTATTTTTAGTAAAGACGGGGTTTCATCATGTTGACCAGGATGGTCTCAATCTCTTGACCTCGTGATCCACCCACCTCGGCCTCCCAAAGTGCTGGGATTACAGGCTTGAGCATATATTTCTGAGTGTGAGACCATGTAGATATAAATATACTAATATAGACATAGGCGCAAAAGCTCTTCCTCAGTCTGTTACTGGGAACCTGGTTTTTACTAAATTCCTGGGTCTTTGTAGTATATAATCAGGGTAACTGGAGTGAGCAGAAGGGTTAAGAGGTTCCAGACCATCTTGATATTCAGTGGGGTATACAGTCATTGGTGGAAGAGATCATACAAGTCAGAGAGAAAGAGGGAAATACAAGAAAGTGCCAGCTCTGAGTTGGCTCCTGCAGAAAATTTCAGAACCCTTGAGTTGGCATTAAAAACTCTGAAACATCTATTGTGGATGTGAGGTGTTATGAGAAAGAAATTAGGTAAAAGCAGGAGGATTTATAAGCTCTGCTTATGTTGTCAAGGGAATTATACTGTGCACTTTTAGGAGTCTTAAATAAAGACAAATTACTTTTACATTACAGAAATATACTATTTTTAAAATGTCATATTTTTGACATGATCCTTGTGCCAGATTAGTCACATAAAAGCTAATTTTAAGACTGATTATATTTTATACCAACTCCTTCCTTTTTTTTCTATTTATAAAACTTTTCTATTATGAAGAACATTATAAACTTAGACCTAAATAAAATACACAAATAAGTAGATGTGTAAATAAATCACTCTGTTTTTCCCTATAAAACACGAGATATTAATTTCTATCGAAGCATAATTTTTACAAATATATAACCAGTTTTTGAAAATTAAAAAACGAATCTTCTTTACTTTGTCCGTGGATAACAGTTTCAAAAGAAAACTTGGTGAAATCAACTGTCACTTAAAGTTAGCTTTTTGAGGCTATGAAGAGCTTCCACATATCTGATTTTAGATTGCTTTAACTATTGCCCAATGTAATCAATTGAAGAGGGAACTGATTCAACCTCCTTTTTCAAGAAAAAGAAAAAGAAAAAAAAAGCTAAGGATCCTACTCCCTAGATTTTGAAAGGTAAATGGTGAAATAGAGTTATAAAAGTTTCCAATTTTCTTTCTTTGCCTAAATGTGTTGAATCAGACCCCTCTTCAATTGATTGTACAGCAGCTCTGAAAAAGTGCACCAATTGCAAGGGATTTTTTTTTCTTTAAAGTTGCTCTGCAAGGCAGTCTTCTCCTTATCTTCAAACCACAATCAAGAGTCAAGGAAACTATTATCTCAGCCCAATTCTTGTTACATTATCTTTTCATTCCTCATTTTCAATAGTACCTTTTTGGCTTATTTTTTTGACTAAGAACACCATAAATATTACCCTGTTTATAATGTATAAGAAAGACAATAAATACATAATTCTTTGTATACATCTAAATATAAATAAATGCATTTCAGGATGTCAGCCGAGGTATTAAATATTTTAATAATTTTTATTTAAATTTATATATTTAAATTGCACATTATTGAGTTGCATATATCAATTAAGTTGCATATAGCATGCTGTTTTCTCATTTTTCTTAATGTACACTGCTTTTACTCACTTGCATTTCTATACAATTTATATTTCATTAGAAAAATATTAATGATACTTTTATAATCAAAATGCATAGGAACTTTATTAAGAAAATAAATGAATATATTTTCTCAGCCTTCATGTAAAACGTTGTAAAATGATCGCTTTCATTTTCTTGCATGTGTTATCATTCAACACTTACATAGCATGTATTTTCTAACCAACCAATGTTTTAATAACTAATGTTTCTGGAAATCTCCCAGATACACAGGGACTTATGAAATTACTAACAGAAGTTGTACAGTTTTGAGTTTTCTTATTTAGATCTGTTCTGTATCACCATTTATATCTTTTCATCTTTGCTTTACTTTACCCACTAGTTTGAGCAATTAAGTTTCATGTATCCTTTTCAGTGTACCTGACTGCTAAAGTTTGTTTTCAAGCACACAGTTTTTCTGTCAGTCCATTTAAAAGATACAACTAAGCATTCATACATAGTTTTTAAAAATTATTTATTACTAAGAATGATGAAAATGAGAATAAGAAAATTAACCATTATGATCATTGTAGGACTCATATAGTTTACGCAAAAGTTGATGTAACTCTCATATGGATAGTGAAAGAGCAGACATATTCCTATGTAATTACTAAAAGCAACAGTTTTAGAAGGGGGTCAGGAATTTTTAATACTAAACGAAGCTCTATATTAAAATTTTGAAAAAATTTGTAATAATCCAAAGACATAATGACAGTACCAAACAAATTCACATTTTTAGTTTTCATTTTGTTAATATATTTTTGAGTAATAAAGTCTGGCTTCCAAGAATCCACCACACAGACTAATGATGTGTATAACTTCAACAAAAGCATGCTCTATTTATACCTCTATTTTAGTAAAAAGCTGAATATTATTAGTCAATGTTATGCCTCCATAAATGCTGTGTTTCATTAATTCTAACCTATGTGATTTCTATCTGATCACAATGGCTAAGAAATGAACTTTCTAACAATGTATTACATTCACAACAATTTCTAAGATGGTAGATTTTGTGTCATCACCACAAAGAAAAGCATATGAGGTAATGCATTTTAAATTAGTTATATATAGCATTCCACACTGTATACATATTTCAAAACAAATGTTGTAGCTAATATACAAAATTTTTACTTTCAAAGTGAAAAAACAGAAAATAAATAATAAATGTAAACCTGTTGTGATAGAATAAATTAATTAAGCTCAATTTAATTAAGCACATGAAGAAAAGGAAGAAAGTCCTGAAAAGCCTTATATGTACAATTTTAGAATGAAAATTAGACCTTCTAAGAAGAAACAAACGAAATTGGAGTGAGTTAGTATGGAGAAGATAATCATAAAGTGAGAAATTAAAACAGCAATACTGCTTTCAATTAAAAGGAGGGGTGATTAAGGTATATATTTTACTACAAAGTACTTCAGGTTCATTATAGAAAACAAAAAGTACACATAAACAAAAAGTAGACAATTAAAAATACAAACAATCCAACTTTCACATAACAACTTTGTATCAACTATCTCACTGTAAATATAGGTTTAGTAACTTCAATAACACTAGATATTTTCATTTTAAAATACCAATTTTATAGTTGAAATGGTAACTCATTGCTATTTTGATTTAAGTTATTTGAGTAATACATTACTTCTTTTCACATTAAAAAAATGTATTTTCTATAGTAATATCTAGAATGTATATCCAAATCTCCAAATATTGAAGTAGAGCTGATCTTGGCAGATCATAGCCATTTTTCAGGCCTTATGGGAATCCATCATTGTTTATTGGTATAAAGAATAATACTACTAACAAAATAATAGAATTCAAGTAGAACTAGACATATTAAAATGTGTCTTATTTGGATTCTGGAATTTGGTGATATAGGGTTCCTCAAAACCCACTGCTTTCTTTCTGTGTCCTGACCAAGAAACACAGAATACCTTGACGGCTGTGACATAGCTGCATGTTTTAACCATCAGGCTGAACCCAAGCTGGAGCCTTAAACATATCCAGGCCCTGATAAAGGTGTCTAAGCTGTTACTCAAAACACTGAGGGAGATTGGTTCTGAGCCCCATTGGTTCTGAGCCAAATTCCTTAAACCTACATATAAATTCTTGTCCCGACTACCTCAACATGGACTTACCTAGGTAGAACATCCTTTCTCTGTCCATCATGAAGATGCTACATCTCTCTGTATAAGTTCTCTTAATAAATGCTTTGCAATTACGACAATGGTGTTTAGTGCTTCTTTCTTTGTAATCCCAACTGGCCCCATCTCAGGAGAGTTTGGGACACTCTTATGTGGGAACCCCCTTGCCACAGCCTGTAGAGAAACTCCAGCTGCAGGTTCAAGGAGAGGAAGCAGGGTGCATAAGGTGGTGCTATAAGTAGTTTGGATGGAAAGAAGCCATTAGCTAAGCGCTTTTCTTTCTTTTCTTTTTCTTTTTTAACAAAATGTATTTATCTTTCTTGGAACTGAAAAATAAATCTATGTACAAAACAGGAAAAGATCAGGCTCCTGCCACCCACTCCCAACCATCTGCAGATTTCCTCCGGGATGCTCTGAGATGGGCTGGACCTCTGGGAAGTTCCCAGAGGGTCAGAAAGGTGGTCCTGCTCTTATCCGGAGCCAGTTTGGTCAGGAAGAGGGCGGGGCTCAGGATGCTCATAGGCTGGGGGCGGAATTCCGTGTCCCAGACTCGGGATAGGAAAGAGTGGAAGCTAGATTTCCAAATTCTAGAGTAGGACTCAAGTTCTTTGCGGGTAGGGTGCTTGGATTCGCAAGATATGGAATTCTCAAGTATAGAAACACACTCCTAGGGATTGAGTGGGGTCCTAGGCTCCCAGGCTGGAGGCGGAACCTGTACTCGTTAAGGATGAAACCTCAGCTACTACAAGCTCGGAGCAACCAGCCCTGAGTAACGTTGGTCTGGCTCTAGGTGAGTAGCTTCGTTTTGAGGAGGAGCTTGGGTTTCCAGGGGTTGCGCCTTTAAAGATAATTAGGACCCAGGGTGAGGTTTCCATTGGCTGGCTGGGATTCTGGGAAGAGACCTATATTCTAACGACTGGGGCAGGGCTCTGGGCTCTGAGCTGGAGAAGATTGTGGGTTTGATGTAGACTGTACTAGGGACCTGGAGCGTTGGGTTCCTGTAGGGGTGAGGCCTGTCCCCTTTGGGCTCGGGCACCGCATGGGCTCAGAGAGGGGGGCTAAGGGCGGGGCCTGGGTCCCCACAAGTGGTCCGAAGTCCCCAGTAGTTCAGAAGCCTTTGCGCTGCCACTTGCGGAAAGTCAGAGTGTATTCACTAGGGGTGGACACCTTCTGCTTCTTCATCTGAACTTGGGACTGCGCCGTGAGTTGCAGCTTGATGGCGCTTGAGTTGACCTTGGTGGCCACCAGCAGCTCCTTCATGCCCTTCATCTTCTTGTTCTGGAAAGTGAGCACTGGACCTTCCAGCAGTGGTGATGCTGCAGGCGCTGGCGCCTGAGCCGTGCTGCCACCTTCAGGGCCTTGATCTGTGCCAGGGACTGTCCCAGGGGTTTCTGGGGGTGGGGTGGGGGAAGTCCTGACACCGCACCCTGGCTGGCGCCTGGGCCCTTGTCCAGTGATGGTTTCTTGGGGGGCGGGGGCTCCTCTAGCTTGGACGACCGCCGTGGGGCCTGCCACCGGCCTTCCTGGGCTTCCTCAACCCACAGCTGCTCTGCCTCAGCCTCCTCGGCCTCCCGGCTCATTATGCTCACCTTCTGCTGCACCTGTTCCTCGAAACAGCCTAGGGACTGCACAAGGAAGGTGGCCCAGCCCACATGCAACACAGGCGTGGGACTGCCCTCCTCCCATTTGCAGATCCTGCCACAGAATCGCAGCAGGTGGGCAAAGCACTCAGGGTCCTGGAGACAGAATCTTGGCTCTGGGTGCCCTGGCTCTGCTCCCCGCGACGGCTCCATGTCCACCTCTAGCAAGCTGGCTGCCTCCTTCAGCAGGCTGGGGATGACATCATTGGCTACTTCAAAGAACTCCTTGTGGATCTCCTCGTCTTCCCGGCAGTAGTTGTAGTCCTGCATGACAGTGGCCGTGTCAGCCCAGGCCTGCAGGGCTTCACACACATTTTGGTTGTGACAGTGTTAGCCAGCCACGTACATGCAGGGGTAGATGTGTTCATCCTGATAGGTTTTAGCTGAGGCAATGCCCTTGTGGTAGAAGGTGAGTGGGTCTGGCTGGCCAGGAGTAGGCTCCAGATCCTCTAGATCTTCCAAGTTCCCTAAGGCCATGGGGTACCTTTCCAGATGTCCCAGGTCATAGAGCAGCCAGAGCAGCTTCTGCTGTACCTGCAGCAGCTCTAATGAGTCAGTATATAGGTCAATGGAAGAGCTGATGGCACACACCATGAACGCCATCTCCACCTTGCGGTCACAGCGCATGTATGATCCTTTCAGGTACAGCCAGCTCCGCTTAGCCACACCAGTGTTGACCGTCTGGCACCTGCAGTTCTTAATGCCCTTGCCATGCTAGGTGACCTCAGCTGTCTGCTCCCCATTGGGTCCAAACACTACCCAGGCATGATCCTCAGACAGGGCGAGGAGGACATCCCAGACACCCAAGGCCTGGCAAACCCCAACCACAGCAAAGGCCACATCAGAGCTGTCAAATTTGGTGCCTGTGATGAAGCTGAAGAGGGACTAGATGCGGGCCCAATCCTTGAAATAGGAACGGCTAAGGCTGTTCCATATGACATTGGAGACCTTCACCAGCTCACAGCTGGAGACACCCCCCTCTCGAGGGTAGAGGGACAAGTGACGGCACCTCGGATCTGGGTGGTGAAATGGGCATAGAGGACAGCGAGGATGGACAGGTCGCCCAAGGGGAAAGGTGAGGCTGCCAGGAGGGTAAGGGGTGGGGCTGGGCTGGAAGGTAAGCTCGGGCACGTTGGTGGAGATGATGCGGTTGACAGCCAGAAAATGCTCCATGAAGCCCAGCACCAAGGAGAGGAGCACCAGGTCGGGCTCCTCTCGGCCCCACTCGGCAGCCAACAGGGACACCACGTAGTCAATGGAACGCAGCAGAAACAGCGTCTTCTGGGCTGCCTTCCTCCCCATGGTGGTAGGGGTGGGCGGTGGCCAGCTTCCCGTCTTTTGTTGGTGTGACCACTTAGCCAAGGCTGCAGAGCTCTTTTGTCCCCCACAATTCCGGGACTCTCGGTCCCAATCAGCACCCCAAGGACTCCGCTGATTATCCCCAATGTCCACCCCATTCCCTCTCTATGCCTGTGTCCCCGGAGCCCTAGGGTCCGTCCAGAAAGAGGACCCAGGCCAAGCCCCCCAACCCCAAGGAGAGTCCTGGGCTCGGTCTCCCTCCCGCGCCCACCTCCGCTTACATCCCACACAAGGCCCCTCAAGCTCCTGTGGACAACTAAGTGGTGCCTGTACTGTACCCCTGACCAATACAATGGACATTTTTGGTACTTAAAATTAAAAAAAGAAAGAAAGAAAGAAAAAGGTATCTCCTGTCCAGTCCCGGCCACGCACACCTGCTCTGACCACGACGAGCTTCGGTTGCACGGATGTGCTGCTGGGCGTTCCTTTCGTCACGCTGCCCAGTGGCGGCAGCCTCCATTACGCGCTGGGCCAGGGAGGAGAAGGCTGGACACGCTCGGCCGCCGGCTCCTCCAGCGGCTTCCACTCGTGGAAGTCTATGAGATCCGTGTCCGCCTATGAGATCCGTGTCGGCCTCACCCAACCTCTTCCACTGCGCAGGCGCACCCTCGAGCATCAAAACGCTGGACACGCTGAGCCGAAGGGCTACGTGGTGGCAGAGGCTGCGGCGCGCAGACAGAAGCAGCTGTAGACGCTGAACGACCGCTTTGCGGGCTACATTGACAAGGTGAGGTAGCTGGAGGTGCACAACCGCAGCCTGGGGGGCGAGGCGGCGGTGCCGCGGTAGCAGCAGGCAGACGGCTCCGCAATGGGCAAGCTGCACGACCACGACGACCGCGACGTCCGTGAGATGCGTGGCGCCGTGTTGTGCCTGGGCTCGGCGCGCAGTCTGCTGCGCCTGGAGCAGGAGCACCTGCTCGAGGACATCGCACACGTGCACCAGCGCCTCAACGACTAAGTCCCGCAGCGTGAGAAGGCCAACGCGGCGGCTCGCGCGCTTCGTTCAGGAAGCCCAGGCGGCGGGTGTGGAACTGTAGAAGAAGGCGCAGGCGCTGTGGGAGGAGTGCAGCTGTCTGTGGCGCCACCACCAGGAGGAGGTGGGCGAGCTGCTCTGCCAGATCCAGGGCTGTGCCTCTGCGCAGGCGCAGGTACAGGCAGAGACACTGGACGCCCTCAAGTGTGACGTGACGTGGGCGCTGCGCAAAATCCGCGCACAGCTTGAAGGCCACGCAGTGCAGAGCACGCTGCAGACGAGTGGTTCCCAGTGAGGCCGGACCAACTGTCAGAGGCAGCCAAGGTGAATACACACACCATGGGCTCAGCGCAGGAGGAGATAACCGAGGACCAGCGTCACTTGCAGGCCAGGACCAGAGCTGGAGGCAGTGAAAAGCACCAGGGACTCCCTGGAGAGGCAGTGCTCTGAGCTGCAGGACCATCATCAGGCCGACATTGCCTCCTACCAGGAAGCCATTCAGCAGCTGGACGCCCAGCAGCTCCCACCCAGCAGGAGATGGCAGCCCAGCTGTGAGAATACCTGGACCTGCTCAATGTCAAGATGGCTCTGAATATAGAGATAGCCGCTTACAGAAAACTCCTGGAAGGTGAAGAGTGTCGGATTGGCTTGGCCCAATTCCTTTCTCACTTCCAGAACTCCCCAAGATTCCCTCTATGTCCACACACATAAAGGTCAAAAGCGAAGAGATCAAAGTGATAGACAAGTCTGAGAAAGAAACTGTGATTGTGGAAGAACAGACGGAGGAGACCCAAGTGACTGAAGAAGTGACTGAAGAAGAGGATAAAGAGGCCAAAGAGGAGGAGGGCAAGGAGGAAGAGGGGGCTTAAGAGGAGGAGGCAGAAGGGGGAGAAGAAGAAGCAAAGTCTCCCCCAGCAGAAGAGGCCTCATCCCCAGAGAGGGAAGCCAAGTACCCAGTGAAGAAAGAGGCAAAGTCACTGGCTGAGGCCAAGTCTCCAGAGAAGACCAAGTCCCCAGCAAAGGAAGAGGCAAAGTCACTGGCTGAGGCCAAGTCTCCAGAGAAGACCAAGTCCCCAGCAAAGGAAGAGGCAAAGTCACTGGCTGAGGCCAAGTCTCCAGAGAAGACCAAGTCCCTAGCAAAGGAAGAGGCAAAGTCACCGGCTGAGGCCAAGTCCCCAGTAAAGGAAGAAGCAAAATCTCCAGCTGAGGTCAAGTCTCTGGAAAAGGCTAAGTCCTCAGTGAAGGAGAAAGCAAAGTCCCCTGAGAAGGCCAAGTCCCCCGAGAAGGAAGAAGCAAAATCTCTAGCTGAAGTAAAGTCTCCCGAGAAGGCCAAGTCCCCAGTGAAGGAAGAAGCAAAGTCCCCTGAGAAGGCCAAGTCCCCAGAGAAGGAAGAAGCAAAATCTCTAGCTAAGTCAAGTCTCCCGAGAAGGCCAAGTCCCCAGTAAAGGAAGAAGCAAAGTCCCCTGAGAAGGCCAAGTCCCCAGAGAAGGAAGAAGCAAAATCTCTAGCTAAGTCAAGTCTCCTGAGAAAGCCAAGTCCCCAGTGAAGGAAGATGTAAAGTCCCCTGAGAAGGCCAAGACTCTTGATGTGAAGTCTCCAGAAGCCAAGACTCCAGCAAAGGAGGAAGCAAAGTCTCCTGCAGACAAATCCTCTGAAAAAGCCAAAAGCCCTGTAAAGGAGGAGATCAAGTCCCCAGAGAAGGCGAAGTCTCCCGTGAAGGAGGATGCCAAGGCCCCTGAGAAGGAGATCCCAAAGAAAAGAGAGGTGAAGTCTCCAATGAAGGAGGAGAAGCCCCAGAAGGTGAAAGTCAAAGAGCCCCCAAAGAAGGTAGAAGAAGAGAAAGCTCCCACCATGCCAAAAACGGAGGAGGACAGCAAGAAAGAGGAGGCACCCAAGAAGGAGGCTCCAAAGCCTGAGGTGGAGAAAAAGGAACCTGCCGTCGAAAAAGCCCAAAGAATCCAAAGTCAAAGCCAAAAAGGAAGAGGTTGAAGATAAGAAAAAAACAGCCACCCCAGAGAAGGAGGTTCCTGCCAAGGTGGAGATGAAGGAAGATGCTAAACCCAAAGGAAGACAGAGGCGGCCAAGAAGGAACCAGATGATGCCAAGGCCAAGGAACCCAGCAAACCAGCAGAGAAGGAGGCAGCAGTGGCAGCATCGGAGAAAAAAGAGACCAAAGAGGTGAAGGCCACCGAGGCCAAGTAGCTGAAGAGAAACCCAAGACAGAGGCCAAAGGCAAGGAGGAAGACAAGACGCTCTCAAAGGAACCCAGCAAACCTAAGGCGGAAAAGGCTGAAAAATCCTCCAGCACAGACCAAAAAGACAGCAGGGCTCCAGAGAAGGCCACAGAAGACAAACCACCAACAGGAAGTAAGGTAGGGAGAAAGAAACGTCCGGAGCAGCCAAAGAAAGTCAGAAGGGTCCCGGAACTCAAGGATCAGGGTAACGTAATTTTCACCTTTTCTTTCTTTATGTAAGAAGAAACTGCTTAGATTTAGATGACGGGGACTCCTTCTTCAAATAAGAATTTCTGTTAGCTATATGCTAGCAAGAGAGGGCACTCCCAGCACCCTGCCCCCACCTCCCCAGGTGTTGGACAATTATGTTACGATAGTTTATGTAGCTGAATGTGATATATGCTGAATGCCACACGTAAACACTTGATTATAAAAACTGTCCCCCCTTTTCAAATAAGTGCATTTATTGCCACTATGTGCAACTGATAGATGACCGCAATAATGAATGAGCAGTTAGAACACATTATGCTTGAGATGTCTTAACCTATTCCCAAATACCTTCTGTTTTCCAAAGGAGTGGTCAAGCCCTTGCCCAGAGCTCTCTATTCTGGAAGAGCAATGCAGGTGGGGCCGGGTACTGGCCACTGAATTATGCCAGGGCCCACTTTCCCCTGGAGTCCACTTTCAATTGAATCTGTGCAATAAAACCAAGTGCTTGTAAAATGAAAAAAAAAAAAAAAAAAAAAAAAAAAAAAAAAAAACCTTATTTTGTTTTTGTCTTCTCATATTCTTGATGTGAGAATTTCTTTTTGATGTTTGAATACAGCCATAAGTGAAAGGTCATATAGGAGAAGACAAAAACAAAATAAGGTGTATTATTTGTGTATTAAATTCAAGTGATATCAGAATAGCCGATTTAGTAAAATACATTTGATTTAAAAGAAAGCGGCAGGTCACATTTGTGATCCCCTTGAAAGATTAATTGAGTAATTAGTACTTGACTTGGATAGTTGCAATCAGTGCTGGTAATAATGTTTTGTAGGCTACTTTCTTATGACTTTCCACCAGAAAAAGGTGAGAGTGAATGAATTTTCATTACATACTATTAAGATTCACTTGCAAGAGAGGGTTTGCTACATTTTGCATATAGCAATAAAAATAGCAGTAATTCCTGGTGCTGACAATGTTTTACTGATTTAATATTTATGCTCTTTCTACTTAATTTAATTTTATACTCTAAGAGTCATTGTAAATTAATTCATATTCGCACCTTGTGAACTCCGACATATTAGAATGAGCCCTTAGTAGTTTTATTTGCATACAGAGAAATGATTGAGATGACTTTGGTCCTACAGATGGATGCCAGGATGCCAAACTAAAGAATCTTAAACAAAATAATGACTTAAAAAGTATCTTCATATCCATTTATAAACTACTTCCTATTGAGTATGCTATTAGTTTACAGATTTGTTGGAGAAAATTGTGTTGTCTGTGACTCATTCAAAATTAGAGTTGGGGAAACAAAGAAAAGTTATTTTAATATGATAATTTGAAGTGCTTGCCATATTTCTCTATCTTGCCCTTGAGAGAATTTGTCTCAAGTTCCTCATAAGAAAAGTCTTTTAGAAAACTGATTTGATAAAGAACATTGCTTGGATATACAATTGACATTTTAGAGTCGGTGGGGAAGGGTCAGCCATTTTCTCACCCCACTTGCTAAAGGGATGAGAGGTGAGCATTAGTGAGAAATGTTGCTGCTATATTTGGTTAGAATTCACAGAGCAACACCAATGACAGAGCAGAAAATCAAAACTGGCTACCAAGCAGATGTCTCCCATGTAAGATTCCAGCTGATGGAGGGGCTGAGAGGTCTTAGAAAACATTCTCTTCAGGATAGAGACTCAATTATAAAATGATATTTATCAGCTTAACTGTCATTCTTGCTCTTTGGTTATCTTCCTTAAACAACTGAGAGGCAGGTAACCACGAGTTATATATAAACACATTTATTAAGCACCGATGATGAGACACTGGAGATCCATAAAAATAAATATGTACAATAAATATATTTTTTTAAATATATTACCAAATTTGGGGATAACCAGAGATAAATGCTACAAACACAATACAAATATACAATGTGCTTGCATGGTAGTAGAGTTATTACAAGTATCAGATAAATATAGAAAAACATTCTAAATGAAGTAATCATAACAGAATATTATTAATAATAATATTAATATCAATTATATTAATAATATAATAGTGGTGATGATATTTGAGTCATTAGAGAATAGTAGTGTTTATAATAATTGCATATATATGTATATTAGTGCCATATGCAAGTTTTTCTTCCAAATACTTCAGATGTATAACTAATAAAATCTTTGTAACTACCCTATGAAATGGATTCAGTCATTAAACCCATTTATTATAAGTGAAGACATGGAGGCCCATACAAAGCTTTAAAAAGTTCAGATATGTTTAAGAAAGAGATCTAGATTTTTGGTGAAATTTAGCCTCTTATTAACACTATGGGTTACTTAATATGGTTGCTGTAAATATTAAATAAAGTTTTAGATATAAAGGCCTTAAAGCAAGTCCTGAATTATTGTAAAATGTTAAACAATATTAGATATTTTTATTATACTTAAAATTAATTGTACCTGGTTTTTTTGTTTGTTTGGACTTGAACAATGGATAGCCATTTGTCAGACAGTGAGAGCAGTAATTGGTACATAAAATTGCATGGCATGAGAAAGGGAAAGTTGTATGATGGAGTGTGGAAAGAATGGTGAGAGAGGCAGGTTGGTAAAAATATGCAAAGCATCTGAAGCTGTGGAAACATTTGTATTTATTCCAATATGAAA